CAAGCTCATAAAGCCATCTCTGCTTAGAGGGGCCCCAGAGTTCACAGCCAAGGGAACAGTTCCTGAAGGCTGACTGAAATGCTGAGTCCAGAGCCCTAAAGACCCAGATTAGTTAGGCCAGGTAAAGAGGGGAGATTGGTTGCTTATGGGAGCTGCCTTAGCAAAGAGAAAAGCACCCCAGGTTCTGCAGAGAAAATGGCAAATAAGGGTCTGTCTCCCTGAAGGACTCAGAGAGGAGTTTGGGATGAGAAGCAAAAGAAAGAAGTTACAGTCCTCTTACACTCAGCCTCAAGGAACCTCCTAGAACCCAGAAAGGGAAAAATAGCCAATATAACACTCTCATATTCACCAGGACTCTGAGGCCTGAGCAATTTCACTGCTAGCCACAGAAGGGCCATCTTTCACATTGCTGAGAGTTGTCATGGGAACGGAAGTCAGGGGCAGTGGATTCGGCACTGGCCATGCAGCCAAGTGGGTTTTCTCCTAGGACAGGACCTAGGACAGGATCCACTCCTGGCCTTTATTCAAGCCTTGCCAGATGGAAATTGGGAATGCCATCCTTAACTAACAGCAAACGAAACCGCTGAAATGCCTCTTCTAGCACCAAGTCTTCTTCAGCTGTGGGTGAACTCTCTGGTTTTCTCTCTGGTTCACCAGCCAGATGTTGAAAACCTTTCCAACTCTGGACAATGGTCCATGCTGCCGTGCCAAGGTGTCCTTGGCTAGGTACCTTTATGGGCCTCAGTTTCCTCATCTGAAAATAGGGGAAATAATACCTGCCTCAAAGACATGTTGTATAGATTAAACAAGGTAACACATGAAGAAAGGAGTATTCTCTTTTTTTTTCCTGACACGTCCCCCTTCACTTTGCATATTCTACCTCCCTGTTCAGAAGTATTCCTGCTCTCTGTGTCCAAGAAGGTCCTGAACAAATCTTATCCCATCCATGGTGCTTCTATTTCCAGCTGTCACTGAATACTCCCTTCTTTTTTTTAATGTTTATCTATCCCACACATTAATTGGTTACATTCAGCTGGCTGACTGCTACTGTGAAAAAGCGATGAATGACATTGGGTGAATTTCCAAACTCAGTGAGTCTCAGTATTGTTTGTTTACTTTATCATCAGAGTCCTTAGCACAATTCCTGACACACCAGAAGCACACAGTAGATTGAATTATGGCAGTGTTCAGCTTCAAACTCTTTTAAAAAGTTTCCCTTTGGCCTCAAAAGGTAGATGATTGATAGAGAGACAGATAGATATAGATAGATAGATAGATAGATAGATAGATAGATAGATAGATAGATAGATAGATATAGATGCTAGATAGACAGATAGATAATAGATGATAGACAGATGATAGACATAGATGATAGATAGTTGATAGAGACAGATATAGAGAGATAATATATAGATAGAAGATAGATGATAGATAGATAGATAGATAGATAGATAGATAGATAGATAGATAGATAGATGGATAGATAAATAGATAGATGATAGATAGATATGGAGATAGCTATATATCTCCACACTTCCATCATGGCCTGCCAAGGCTCTCTGCACTATCTGGCCCTTCCCCATTCTGTCCTCATCTCTTGTCATCCTTCCCCTTCATCATTACTTTCCAACCCTGCTAGCCTGTTTTCAAAATGTCTTCTCAAAAATGTCAATCTCTTTCCTATAATAAGGCTTCATGTAAGTTCTTCCCTCTGTCTGAAATGACCTTTCGCCACTGGTGGCAAAGCTAGTTCTTTCTCACCACAGAGGTCTCAGCTTTAATGTGGTGTTCTTTGATCATCTCATCTAAGGTGGTCTTCCAAGTTTCTGTGATGGCAGAAATTATGTCTTTGTTGTTCATCTCTGGGTACCAGCATTTAGCATGTGCATGACACACAGTTGGTAATTAACAAATTGAATGAATGAATGAAGGCAAGCATACATAATAAATGAAGTAAATATTATTTTTTTCTTCTCCTCATGCATGCATTTTTTTCTGGGTGCTTTGCAAATGCAAACAGTATCTTTCACTAGAATGCCAGCAGGGTGAGCATTATAGATTTCTTTTGTTTCCAATCTAGCATGCAGCACAGTACAGGGCTCGTATACGATACTCAAATTTTGATGAATGAATGAATTATTGAATGAATGAGCAAATGGGCACGTACCCAAAACTTGCTGGACTGAACTGAATTAAGTATACCTGCTGGTATAAAGGAAGTGCCACATCCTTGCACCGGCCAACATGTGTTCTGCATTTGTCAGTGATGCTTTCTTGTGTTTGGTGTGTTCACATGGTCATCACCATCAGCCTGCTAATGGGATCATAAAGGAAGGGGAATCAGGGTCCTGGGCTTTTTCAGAGTCATCAGCTCAAAGCCCTTTTAATGTGAGTTCCTGATTCGATTGGGTGTGGAGAGAAGAGAAAAGGTGATGAATGGCCCAAATACAAGGAAAATTCAAATACCTGACTTTGTTCTTATCTCGGGAAGAATGTGACAGCCTGAAAGAGTCAGCGGCAGGCACACTGAGTCATGATGAACTAAGAAACTCAAGAATGTCCCTTGATAAATGTTTGCTGGATGAATGAATGCTTCTGTTGCTTATTACCTTTTAAGTGAATAGGGTCAAAGGTTGCTATTAACCCAAGGCTCATGGGGGAAAGATATTCTTTGTGACCTGGCAGGAATTATTACCAAGGGCAGACGAGGCCAGCAAGTTCACATGGCTAATGAAGACAGGGTCACAGGTTTGAGGTCCCCTAGAGACTAGTTATCTGCAGGCAGAGAGAAAATTGCTTCACAGCCATATTACATGCCCTGATGCTGGGCAACCATCTTGCAGAAGTTCATGCATTCCTCCTGGATCATCTTGTCCAGGAGGGAACGGTGTAGGACGGATGCGTTTGCTGAAACCCCTCATCAAAGGAAAACAACCAAATATTTGTTTACATTTGATTAGGACATCTTACTGGTGTTGGTGATGATGATGACCGTAGCATTTCTTGAGTAGTTACTCTGTGACAGGTGGTATGCTAAGCTCTTCACGTGAACTTTTTCACTTGATCTTTACATGCATGTACAATCATGCCACCTGACAAATGAGAAAACTGATATTAACAAAATTACTTCACATCCACTCTCTTATCCATGTCGTCTAATTGAATTCACGGCAGGCTTGCAAGGTAGAGTTTATTCTCTTTCTTTTACAGATGGGAAAACTGAAGGTGGAAGAGATTTGTTGATTTACCAAAAATCACTCATCTGGGAAGTGGCAGATCCTCCTACCAGATCCCGGTATTCCAAAAGTCAGTTCCATTCTCTTAGCTAGGACAACACAGAGACTGTTTTTCTTGACAAGCAGATTAATAACATGGTCTTTACACATGAAGGGTGACGAGTTGAAGACCAAGGAAAGCAAAGCTGATCATTGCGAAGAATTACCATCTAAGGGGTGACCCAGCCCAAACCCAGGGGTTTCAAGGCTGATGAGGGGGCACAATGAGATATAAAGGGAGAGACCAAAGGGTCCTTCCTGCAAGTCCCAGCTGTGCCACTTACTGTGTGTGCTGGGCAAGTTACTTGACATCTCTGGGCCACTAGGCACTGTTCTAAATATTTTAAATGCATCAACTGATTCAGTCCTCATACTATCATTTGAAGTGATCATTAGTTAACCTCATTTTATGAATGAGATAACTAAAAAACAAACAGACCAAGCAGCTTGTCCAAGGTACCCAACTAAAAACAGGCACAATTGGAATTTTGATCCAGGTAGTCCAGTTATAGTGCCTGTGCTCTGAAGAGTCACTGCATGCTACTAGAAATAATAATAAAAGGGCAAAGGGCCTGGCATGATGGCACACATCCATAGTACCAGCTACTTGGGAGGCTGAGGCACAAAGATCACTTGAGCCCAGGAGTTTGAGGCCTGCCTGGGCACCATAGCAAGATCCTATCTCAAAAAATAAACAACTTAATTAATAAAGAATAATAATAACACCTTGTTCATAGGCTTTGGGGATGTAATGCACACAAAAATGCATAGCAAAGTGTCTAACATGTAGTAGTACTTATTCAATACATGACATATTTTATCATTGAATACATTTCTACCTTAGGAGGTTTATTTTTCAATAGGCACACAGGAATATCATGATTAGCTGCAGTTAGATGATACAGACTGATGGATGTTCCAGGATGGTCTAAGACTTGAAATTAAACATTTCGTGCATGGGCCAAGCTGCAATTCCCAGAAAAGCATCTAACTTAGCAGGCCAGTTCTGGTGCTAGGCCTATTTCCTAATGATGGGTTCTAGTTAAGAGTTACCAGCCATCACAGGAATACAAAGCAGCAAGAAAACAGGGGCAAGTGGTACTCTACACAAGTCTATATCTAGGAGGTCCATCATCAGCCAGCAAGACCCGAATCATTGGGCTGCAACTCCAGGACAAGGCTATAAATCCTGGGGAGGAAGATCCCATGAGGGCAATGCAGGGCTGAGTCGTAGATATGTTATGAAAACAAGGGCTTGGGCACAGAGACTAAGGGAGAGATAGGTGGCTGGGATCAATATAAAGTTTATCCCAGTTACCAGATAACTGGACAGATGATAAATATGAGGCAGGCAACCCAAGTGGGACCTGAAATTAAGTTTCATTTGACCCATCTAGAGTTTCTTAAAACTTTCATGCCTTGGGACAGCAGGGAGGCTCAGAGCTTGGCATGAGGGGAGACAAAGATGAGGCTGAGAGGTTCCAGCTGGCAGTGAAGAGCTCACCAAGGCTGGGATCCAGGCAGGGTACAGCACATTCAGACTAAAGCTGGATGTGCACCTGTCAGGGATGTTGGGGTGAGGATGCTGGCCTCTGGTAAACAATGGGACCAGTGATCTTTGCTATTCCTTTAACTCTGCAATCCCTTGAATGCAACAGACTCACGCACTTTTGCTCTTCACTCCTCCCTGGATCCTCATGAGCTCTCTATGGAGTAAACAGAAACATGCTAGAACTGCTTTACACGACAGTATTTCATTCCAAATATGGAGACAGCACAATGCTCCAAGAGCTGAACCTGACAGAGATGTCTCTGAGAACAATCTCCCTACAACAGCAAAGCCATCCTGAAACCTACAACTTCACAGCCATGCGTCTGGTTTCAAAGGTGATGCGACAGGCCATGGGGAGGCAGGAGCCCCAAGAGTGCTGCTGAGGCTCTCAAGGAGCAAGGAGGGGACAGTCCCAGTCATCAATGGAGCCTTGTGGCCTCAGTGGAAAGGGAGGAACGCCCTGTCTCAGGCATGCAACCTCCAGAGTGCAGAAGACAGCCACACTTTGCCATTATGAAACCCCAAACACTCTGGGTGTGGTGAGACTTTTAAAAGCCTATTCTGCTGTCACTGAGGAGCCTTGGAAATGTGGAGAGCATACCACCCAAGGCCATTAAATGCCCAGACAGCTCTGGACAGAGACAAGAACAAGGATCCAATGAGCTTGAGGCAGAGTGTCTCAAAGAAATAAACATGCGGTAAAGGTATTTCCATAGCCAGTAAATACTGTCTTTCAGGGGGTTCAGAAGGAGACCAAACAGCCTCCCCCCAACATCCACCAATAAAAGAGTGACACTGTGTATCTAAGGAGTGAGCAGCCAGGCACAGAAGCCAGATTTCCCAACCACCCTTTAATTTATAGGCCATAAATGATGGAGCCCATGATCTATTGCCCCTGACTCAGGGGGGATTTATTCTGACTAAGAGCACACACAGAGCCCACTGATATAACTAATGGCCTTGGGTGGAAAAAGGTCGGGCTTTCACTAAATGCTAAGTAAAGATGTTTGGAGCAGACAGTTATAATACTAAGAGATGATTCCAAACATCACAGGAAGCAGCAAACACTACCCATCTCAGCTGAGGTCAAACTGCAGGGGAGAAAAACCCAGGATGCTGCAGACAGGGAGTGACAGCCTGAAGCAATTGGCGACAGAGCTTCATTTCTCACAACCTTTCCATTTTACATCTTTTCAAGTGTGCCGCTTACCCAAGCTTTCACCCATCAAAGCCCACTCTCAGGTAAAGGTTGGATCCACTCCTTCACACTGAGTTGTCAGTGCTGGGAGAGCCTAAACCTCGTCTGTCCCATGATTATTGCAGCTCCAGAGATAGTTCAGGGCCCACCACAGAATGCGGGCTTAGTAAATCTTTATTCAATGAATAAAAAGACAGAAATAGTCTGTTTTTATTTATTAATTCATTCATTCCTCCATCCATCCATTCATCCAACCAGTGTTTCTTAAAGGGAACTTGTTACAAAGAGAGCTTCTTTCATGACCAGTGCCTGGGAGGCAAAAGAGACTTTAATAATGTTTTGTTTTCACTGTGTATCTTATTGTTGTCATCTATCTATAGCAAGTGATACTGATTTTCCATTTATGGTAGTGATTTCAATTTTCATTTTATCTAAATTTCTTCCTCCAAAATAAGAAGTCAATTTAAATTTAAAAATCTTCAGTAAATAAACACACAGATTTTATAATTATATGACCAAAATCTTCTGAAATAAAGACATTCTCAGATGAAAGATGGCTGAGAGGATTTGTCATCAGCAGATCTGCTTGAAAAAAAGGAAGTTCTTCAGGCTGAAGAGGAATTATATCAAAAGGAAGAAAACTTCAGAATTAAAAGAAGAGTGGCATAAATGTAAATAACTTGATAAATAGATTATTTTTCTTCTCTTAAATTCTTAAAAATATGTACAACTATTGAAAGCAAAAATTCTAACATTGTCTGGGAGGTCTCCAATGTAATAGACATAATATACATATCAATTATAACACCAAGGATAAGGATAAAATGACCTGGATGATGGTAAGGCATCTATGCTTTACCTGAAGTGTTAAAATATTAACTCTAAATAGAATGTGAACATTTAGGTATGTATATTGTAATTCTCAGAGAAACCACTAAATTAATATAAATATTATGACACAGGGTCATAAACAGTGTCTCTTCCCCAAACTAGATGTGAAAGCCTTATGATTTTCTGGGCAGTAGATAGAATACTCAGAGGGTCTTCTTAACTCAGTAGTGGAAAATAATCAGTCCTAGACTAAACACTGTTCTGACCCAGCCTATAAAAAAGACATAAAAGCAACACTTCAAAAAATCTGTTTCCAAGTAACTTAACTGTGTCCCAGAACAAGACTCTATAATATAGGAACACAGAAATATCCAGCATCAAACAAGGTAATTAGAGTCCCTAAAGGAGGTGATAGGAGACAGAAAAAAAATTAGGGGAAATATTTCTCTAAAATGTCCAAATTTGATGAAATCTGAAAACCCACAGAATAAGAATCTCAAAACCCTGAGTACAAGTATTGAAAGAAAAACTATCAACCTAGAATTCTACGCCCAGCTTAAATGAGTTTCAAAATCAAACTAAAAGTCAAAACAAAAAACTTTTACAGATATATGAAAACTAAACAAATGTATTCACCAGCAAAGCTGCATTACAAGAAATACAAAAAGACATTATCATTTAGGCAGGAGGAATAAGATATCAGATGGAAATGTGGCTCTACACAATTGAATTAATAGCCCTGTAAGTGGCAACTGCATGAGTAAACATATAAGATTTTTTATTATTTAAATGTCTTTAGGCAAACTAATCTGTTTAAGCAAAAATAATAACAACGTAGTACAAGTTTTATAGCACAGGTACAAGTAGAATATATGTCAAAAATATCATAAGGTTGTAAGGAGAAAAATAGATTATGCTATTGTAAGTTTTTTATACTGTACATGAAGTAGTATAATATTACTTGAACCTAAAGCAACTTATAAAATAACAATACAGAGTTACAGCAAATAAGCCAACAAAAAAGATAAAAAGGAATTTAAAAAAATATATATGCATTCCAAAAGTAGGCAAGAAAAAGGAAACAACATATGGGCAACTTTTTAAAAAAGTGGCAAGATGATAGACTTAAACATGCCATATCAAGAATCCCATTAAATGTAAGTGGTCTAAATATCCCAAATAAAAGGCAGAGATTTTCAGAATGTGGGAAAAAGCAAGACATAACTATATGCTTTCTACAAGAAAAGTACTTTAAATATGAAGAGACAGATTAAAAACAAAAAGGTAAGAAAAGATATAATGTATTAATACCAATCAAAAGACAGATGCATTTGGTATTTCATTCTCTTTGTAGCAATTGTGAATGGGAGTTCACGCATGATTTGGCTCTCTATTTGTTATTGGTGTATAGGAATGCTTGTGATTTTTGCACATTGATTTTGCATCCTGACACTTTGGTGAAGTTGCTTATCAACCTAAGGAGATTTTGGGCAAGATAATGGGGTTTTCTAAATATACAGTCATGTCATCTGCAAACAGAGACAACTTGACTTCCTCTCTTCCTATTCGAATACCCTTTATTTCTTTCTCTTGCCTGATTGCCCTGGCCAGAACTTCCAACACTATGCTAAATAGGAGTGGTGAGAGAGGGCATCCCTGTCTTGTGCCAGTATTCAAGGGAATGCTTCCAGCTTTTGCCTATTCGGTTTGAGATTGGCTGTGGGTTTGTCATAAACAGCTCTTACTATTTTGAGATGCATTCCTTCAATACCAAATTTATTGAGTTTTTAGGATAAAGAGGTGTTGAATTGTATTGAAGGCATTTCTGCATCTGTTGACATAATCATGTGGTTTTTGTCATTGGTTCTGTTTATGTGATGGATTACATTTATTGATTTGCATATGTTGAACCAGCCTTGCATCCCAGGCATGAAGCCGACTTGATCGTGGTAGATAAGCTCTTTGATGTGCTGCTAGATGTGGTTTGCCAGTATTTTATTAAGGATTTTTACGTTGATGTTCTTCAGGGATATTGGCCTGAAATTTTTTGTTGTTGTTGTGTCTCTGACAGGTTTTGGTATCAGAATAATGCAGGCCTCATAAAATGAGTTAGGGAGGAACCTCTCTTTTTCTATTCTTTGGAATAGTTTCAGAAGGAATGGCACCAGCTTATCTTTTACATCTCGTAGAATTTGGCTGTGAATCCTTCTGGTCCTGGGTTTTTTTTTTTTTTTTTTTTTTTTTTGGTTGGTAGGTTATTAATTACTGCCTCAATTTCAGAACTTGTTATTGGTCTATTCAGGGATTGGATTTCTTCCTGGTTTAGTCTTGGGAGGGTATATGTGTCCAGGAATTTATTCATTTCTTCTAGATTTTCTAGTTTATTTGTGCAGAGGTGTTCCTAGTATTTTCTGATGGTCATTTGTATTTCTGTGGGATCAGTGGTGATATGAAGGACCTCTTCCAGGAGAACTACAAACCGCTGCTCAAGGAAATAAGACAGAACACAAACAAATGGAAAAACATTCCATGCTCATGATAGGAAGAATTAATACTGTGAAAATGGCCATACTGCCCAAAGTAATTGAGAGATTCAATGCTATCCCCATCAAGCTACCATTGACTTTCCTCACAGAATTAGAAAAAAACTACTTTAAATTTCCTATGGAACCAAAAAAGAGCCCATATAGACAAGACAATCCTAAGAAAAAAAAGAAAGAAAAAGCTGGAGGCATCACGCTACCTGACTTCAAACTATACTACAAGGCTACAGTAACCCAAACAGTATAGTACTGGTACCAAAATATATAGAGAGAGAGACCAGTGGAACAGAAGAGAGGCCTCAGAAATAACAGCACACATCTGCAACAATCTGATCATTGACACACCTGACAAAAACAAGCAATAGGGAAAGAATTCCCTATTTCATAAATGGTGTTGGGGAAACTGGCTAGCCATATGCAGAAAACTGAAACTGGACTCCTTCCTTACACCTTATACAAAAATTCACTCAAGATGGATTAAAGACTTAAATGTTAGACCTAAAACCATAAAAATCCTAGAAGAAAACATAGTCAGTACTATTCAGGACATATACATGGGCAAAGACTTCAGGACTAAAACACCAAAAGCAATGGCAAAAAGCAGCCAAAATTGACAAATAGGATCTAATTAAACTAAAGAGTTTATGCACAGCAAAAGAAACTATCAGTATAGTAAACAGGCAACCTACCAAATGGGAGAAAAATTTTGCAATCTATCCATCTAACAAAGAGCTAATATACAGAATCTACAAGGAATTTAAAC